GTGGGCCGAGTTCAGGATTTTGGGAAGCCCCTCACCCTCCAGCCCCTCCGGCAGCACCAGCCCCCTGGGTACAGCCGCATCCAGCATCCCCATCATTCCCTTCACCAGCTCATCCTGATCCCAGGGCATCAGCAGCTCAGAGCCCCGATCCCTGCAGTCCTCCCGGCTCCTGTTCCAAGGGTTCATCCCGTCAGAAATCCAGTAGCACTTGGCCCCGAGCAGCCTCCAGCCCACGGCACACAGCCGGCACCCCTCGCTCTCTGCGGGCACATGGGCGGGTCCCGGCGGCTGAGGCAGCGCCGCGGTACCAGAGGGCATCTCCAGCCTCTCTTTATCGGGGGGAGGCCCTAAGGAGCCCCCCGGGGGTTGTGTTACCTCGGGGCGGGCACAGGACCCTCCGCCTCTCCCTGAGGATGCCGTCCCAGCCCGAACGGGCAGCTCCCAGCGAGGCGTTCTCGTAAGCTGCGGTCCCCTTGGGCTGCCACTGCTGTGCCACACACCAGGAGACTGTGAGAGGGGGATGCCGAGCCCGGTCAGGGAAATCGGGGGTGGGGTGGGAAGAGGTGCCCGGAGCCCTCTGCCATCCCGTAGACTCACGGCAGAGCACGAGGGACAGCGCCAGGCCGCACGTCAGGGCCATGAGGAGGCGGCGGGGACAGCAGGGGGATGCTGCGGGGACCCTCTGGGATCCTTGATAGCCAGATCCTGCTGCTGGGGAAGTGATGTGGAAAAAAGAGCAGGCTCAGGAGCACCCGTCACCTCCCTGAAACCCCCAGACCCCAAGGCAGGAAGTCCTGGGGCAAAGGAACTCAGTGAGACCCCCCTGCCAGGGGAACGAGGAGTTGGGTGACCCCAAAAACCCCCTCTGCTCCATCTTTTGGGGTCACAGCTCAGGGGGATGGGACAGCAGACAACCACAGCACCAAGAAAAGCCCCCCAGACCCACCTCCCTCGAGCCGTGCCTCAGTTTCCCCACCCTGGGCAGCTCTTGGTGACTCCTGAGTGCCTTCAGCCGGCAACCACCCCCCTTCAGTTCCTCTCCCCCAAAGATCGGGGGGGCCCAGTGGACACGACCCCCAGTACCTGCACCCTGCCGGGGTGGGCATCTCCCCGCAGAGCCCCGCTTGTCCCCTCGCTCTAAGATCACGTAGCCGTCCTCGTCCTCCATGCGACAGCAGAGCCCAGGGGACACAGGATGGGGACACGGGGGTGGTGGCACCGGGCTGGGGACACGGGGGAGGGGACAGGAAGCCAAAGCATCTCTGCCCGCTGCTGCTGGCCCGGTGTGGTGCGAGCTGGCGGCGGGGCCGGAGCTTCCTGCCCCCGCCACAGCCCGACAGCGACCGGGGGGGGGGGAGAGTCACCCTGGGGAGGGGACCCAGGGGCTGGGGACAGTGGGGGTTTGTGTCCAGACAAAGGAAAACTGGCATACGGGGCTGCTGCCCACAGGGGAAAGGACAAGGAGCTGCTGGGAGAGAAGAAAAACCCTCAGCCCCCTAAAATGGTAAAAAGACCAAAATGCTGGTCCTGATCTCTAAGAGATTGGACTGTAGCCCCCATCCCTTGGGCCAGTGCGGAAGTCGCTGCCGGGCTGGGCTCAGTTTATCCCTGGGGATGGCAAAAGCTCCAGGCACTGCCTGTGCCGCGCCTGCCGGATCCATCAGGGCTGGAAACTCTTTCAATGACACAGGGCAGCAGCCAGGGCTGGTGCAGGACCTTGGTGACACTTGACACCATTCTCTGTGTAATGCCAGCCTTTCCCATGCCGCTCTTTCAGTGCCACCGCCACCCCGATGGTCCCTCGGTGCGGCTCTTTCAATGACACGGGGCAGTGGCCAGGGCTGGTGCAGGACCTTTGTGACACTTTACACCATTCTCTGTGTTTTATTCCCTTCACACCTGCCAGCCTTTCCTGTGCCGTTCTTTCAGCGCCACGACGGTCCCTTGGTGCAGCTCTTTCAGTGACACGGAGACCCTCCCTAGGCACGGCTCTTTGTCTTGGTTTGGAAAGCCAGGAGTCTGCTAAGGAAAGCAGGAGCCTCCCCTGAAATGGAGAATGTGAACCCTCCCCACCCCTCCGAATTGTTATAAATTTGAAATTAAGGGGCTCTCAGGCAAAAATATGGGAGCAGGAATAAGAGTTCTTAAATAGGGAAGAAAAAAATAAAAGGGTAAAATAAACAATGCAGTACACTAGAACAACACTGACAGAGTCAGAACCCAGCCTGACACCCTGTGGGTCAGGGTGTTGGTAGCAGTCCCATTGGAAATGTGGCTGCAGCCCTCCTGCAGTGTCAGGGGTGGTTCTGCTGGAGCAAGGGGGTCCTGTAGAGAAGGATGTATTCTTCCTCTGAAGATCCAGTGGAAGGAGAGGCAGCTGCTGTTCCTCTGGGGAATCCCGTGGAGAAGCCGTGCTGGTGTCTCCAAACCTCTGGATTATATCTGGGTAGCAATGCTTGGCTCCTCCCTCTGGGCAGAGCATCTCACAATGGGATGTTACAGTTCTTATCAGCCATGCAGGGACATTCAATAGCTGTTATCAGCAATGTCCCCTCCCAGGGAGGTGTGAATGTGATCACTCCAAGAGAGAGATCAGGCAAACTGCCCACTTGACAAAGATAATCTGCCATACAGATGGGAATAGAAAACATCTTGCATTGCAATTTTCAACACTCTTCTATTGCACTTCATTCTGTTCCATTTCATTTTGTTCCCCCTGCGTTCCTCACTCATGGCCATGGGCCGGCTCCCCCAGCTCCCCGGCGCCTCCCCGGAGCTCGGACACTGCAGCCGGCCCAAACCCCGGCTTCCCAACGGGATTCTCCGCCCCAGAGCTTCCCCGCTCCTTCCCGGCACTAAATGGAGCTTCCCCCCACCCTCTAAGGGGTGTGCAGCAGCCCCGGGTGTGACCAGTGAGGAGGGGGAAGTGCCTCCAGTCCCTCCCCACTGTCCCCAAAAAAGGGAGGTTACAAGGACAAAAGGGGATTAAACTGAGGGAAGCAACGCCTTTTCCGTAATTGTCTGAGTTTGAATTGTGGAGGATCCCACTTCACCTACGATTTGAAGGGTCTCAGTTGAAGGAAAACACAGCATCGTGATTTTCAGTGTTTCAGTTGGCTGGGAATCACAGTTTTCCATTATTTTCATGTTTAAATGGAAGGAGAATACCTTTAGGGTGCTGTTCCATGGGTTTGAATCAAGGGAAAGAGCCCCATTTTCATCATCTCAAGGTTAAAATTGAGGGCAAACGCCGCTGTCCCTGGTTTTAAAGGGCTTCCCTTGCGAGGAGCCTCTTTATGTGCCATTGTAAGATCCCACTGCGATATGCAGATCACTTCCAGAATGACACGTGAAGTGCCCCCCTCTTCCACCCCCCATTCTTTTTAGCACAAAGCCTTCCCAGGACCCCGAGCTGCATCACCACCCCTTACTGCGGTGTCTTCAGGAAACAATTAAACTCAGCAATCAGAAGGTTCATGCACCAATAAAAATACTGTATGGTTGCTGGGCCGAGGGGTTTAGAGATGGATTTCCCAAGCCCTTTCCCGTTTCTTTCTGGGGGAAGCCATGCTCCCCGTCCCCTCCAGCCTGGCCCTTTAAGTAACTTGAGCCTCCAGGCTGCAAATCCCAGTCTCCAGCTAAAAGGATGGAAAAGCTCTTTCCCCCTTCCCCCTTCTGGGTCTTTTCTTTTGAAAGGAACTGTCTTCTATCCTGTGATAGGAAGAGAGAGATCTCCAAAAGACAGAGCAGCTTTCTGAGCATCCCCGTCCCGTATCAGGACAAACAGGCAATTCCTCCTCCCCTCAATGCTTCTGGCTGCTCTTTTTCTCCCAGCTTTCCTCCCCTCCCGCCGGCCTTTGGCGAACCTCAGCTGATTTCCAAACCCTCCGTGGCTGCTGGGGGTTGGTACAAAGGTTTAATTATTTGCCTTTTCTTGGGCAAGGCGGGGACAGGGAGAAGGTCGGGCCCCACCGCCCGGCACTGCTGATCTCGGCACTTTTGCTGTGGGGTCCCTCTCTCCCACGCTCCTCCCTTCCCTGCCTCCCTCCCGGCTCCTGGAGCCCACCATGGATCCACAGGCAGCTTGGGGATGCTTGTGCCTGCTTTGCTTTTCCCTCCTGAGAGCAGCAAAAGGTAAGAGAGGCTTTGGGCTGGTTTAGGTCCAGGGGCTCGATGGGGTCTGGATGCTCAGAGAGGTGAGATGCTCATCCCAGCATTTATCCTCCCAGTCTGCAGCCAAGCAGGGAACAGGGACTGGCAAACTGTCAGGGCATTTGGGGAGGGCCGGCTCATTACCAGGAGGGGCCACAGGACAACACCTGAGCTCCAATCAAGGTGTAAGGAAGTGATCTCCACCTGGGGAGGGCAGAGAAGGAGCTGACTGACAAAACTTTGGGAGGGGCTGAGGGTATAAAAGGCAGAGCATCCATTTTGTAAACGAGTATGTGGCTGACAGTCCCAGAGACTCCCAGCGCTGTAATTTTTCCGTATTCAGTCTATTGTTGTATCTTTTGTTGTTAAGATTTAATAAACCTTTAAAATTTTAAGAGTGAGGGTAGTTTCTCACACTTTCCAAGCACAGTCCAGAAGTGTCACCTTCAGGCCAGTTTGTGATGATTTCCAGGAGCCCAGGGCAATTTGGATTTCCCATTTGAGCTTGCTGTATAATATTATAAATAACAAATATAGGTATTGGCTTCCACACTTATGTATTAACTGTTGTTTTGCAAGTAATTATTGATCACAAAAATCCTGATACAGTACAAATTGCAATTACTGCTTTTGATACAATATAACCTGTCAGTTTATCTATGCACCCTATAGCTTTTAAAAATAGTGGTGTAATAGATACTATGTTAGACCATAGCATAATAGAGACTGAAATTTGGAATCATTTTCTCATGTAACTAACTCAGAAAATGAGGTAAAATAATATAGTGACTTCCCAAATTCAGGGACAATCCTATCTGAAACACAAGATAACAGAAACAGAAACCAGGGAACCGAACAAAAACATTTATTGACCGTCGTTATCAGGGAGTGAAAATATAAGACAGAACCAAAAGAAAAAATAAAATATATTCATTTAAATGAGAAGATGGCAGGAAGACAAGTCAAAGGTTTAAACCAAGCAAAAGAACATGTTAACTCAAATGAATGTTTCGATATGTATAAACTATAATGAATATGCATATAGGCCTATAATGTAACAGTATATAAAAAAAATCATTTAAGTTAACTGTGTGCAAAGACACAAGCACCCAAATGTGGGATTTTATCTCTTAATAAACTTACATAAAAATTTTAAATAGAAATCCATGTTTCTCACACATGAGGGCAATGCACTCACTGCAGGCAGCATCAGTGGCAGGATGGATTGCAGAGACTTTTCCTTTGCAGCCCCAGCCCAGTGTTGGCACTGGGCATGAAGAGGCACTGAGGTGACCCTGAGAGGAAGGGCAAGGCACAGGGTGCAGCTGAGGAAGGACAGCGCTGTGCTGGGCTCAGAGGTGAAGCTGGCACTGCCCAGTGTGGAGAAGGTCCTTTCTGCAGCCCCTGTTACAGGGGAGCTGGGGCCTTGCTGCAGAGATACGGCCGCTTACTTGAGCACATCTCACTCCTGAACCTTTTCCCGTCGGCCAGGTACACACACTGGGAATTGCCGAGGACAGGAACCCTGCCGGGAGGAGCAGAGGCAGCGCTGGCTGCCAGGGACAGCCCTTGTGCCCCTGTGCCCCCAGGCCCTGCCCGGCTCCCCGGCACTCACCGGGAGCTGTAGCTGCTGCCGTCCCCCCAGTGCAGGCGCTCGCCCCGTCTGCACAGCCCGAGCCAGAAATCAACGTTCCCACGGAGGCGGAAGAGCAAATCCTGCCCAGGAGAGAGGAGTGGGAGCTGCCCCGGCCCCTCGGGGGGACACGGGCCCGGGGCTCCCCCCGCACGCCGGGGCTCCTTCCCTGCAAGGCCCCGGCCCAGGGCTGCAGCCCCGGCCCTACGAGCACCGAGCCCGGCCCAGGAGCACCCCCAGGCTGCCCTCAGCCACCCCACACCGCCCGCAGCCCCTCACTCACCATGGCCTCCTCATCCTTGGCAATGGCCAGGGAGGCCCCGAGCTCGGAGCACCGTTCCTGACCCTGCTCCCAGGTGCCGTAATCCTTTGAGAAGTAGTAGCAGACCCCATTGTAGCCAACCCAGCCATGGGGACAGCCCAGAAGTGACAGCGGAGTCGCAGCTGTGACTGGAACCTGTGGCGCTGCAGGGGGAAGAGGAGAAGGTCTGAGGATTGCCCTGTGCAAGGAGCAGGGAGCCCGCTCTGCCCCGAGGGGCTGGGCCCAGCCTGCTGCCCCTCCCTTACCTGCCAGCACAGCCAAGGCCACCCCCAAAGCCAGCACCAGCACCAGGAGCAGCAGAATCAGCACCGCCGTGCCCACGGGATGGCCCCTGATCCATTCACCTGGAGCAGGAAAGAGCTGCTGGCTGCCAGAAGCAGAGCCGGGCCTGCAATCTGCTCAGCCCATGGCCAGGGAGCAGAGCAGGGAGCCCTGAGCCAGTGTGGGCCTCACTCAGCTGGCAGCCAGAGAGCCAAGAGCCTGGCCACAGGCAGGGACACAGCTGTGGGCACAGCCAGGGACACAGCTGTGGGCACAGGCTGCAGCAGGAGAACTGCACAGCCTTGGGGGCAGCTGGGGCTCTTGCTTCCAGCCACTGATGGGACCCCGCAGAGCACCAGGCCTCTGCCAGACATCGGGAAACAGCCACACACCTGCCAGCCCTGCCCTTGGGAGGGGACACTGTCCCCACCCTAGAGACCACAGGGGTGGCCCTGCACTCACCCAGGAATCTTCTGCGGTTCCTTTTGTGTTCATTCTTGGTTCCTGATGTGCCCTGGGGAGCCAGAGGCTCCCTCACACTCCCATCACTGTGCAGAATCCATTCTCCACATCTGCACTCACTGCACACTCACAAGTGGCATCCCCCTGCTGATGCCAAGAGGCTTCTTGGGCCCCAGGCAGGTGTGGAACCGCGGCTGCTGGTCCCTGCTGGGGCTCATTTGCAACTGCACGAATGGAGCAGAATTCACTCTCCTCCTGTTCACAGGCAGCATCTCTCTGCCTGGAACAAACTACACATTGCACCGGGGACTTCAGGGGTGCTGAAAAAGCCTCGGGAGCTCGGCCTCGGGAACAGCTTCACAGCCGCGCTGATGGCACCCTGAAAGGGACACGGGGAGAGGTCACTGCTGGTGCCGGCCCTGGGGGCTCAGGAGGGCGGTGCCAGCCGTGGCTGCGCTGTCCCCGCTGCCCAGAGGTGCGGCAGCAGCTGCGGAGACAAGCGCAGCCTCCGGGAGCTGGGGCAGCACCGACCGCGGGTGGCGCCTGGCCTGGAGCCGCCTCCGAGCTCCGCCGCCGCCTCGCCGGGCTCCGGGTGCCGCCCCCGCTGCGGAACGGGACAAACGCAATGACCCGCCCGCCGCTCCGGTCCCGGCACTCTCACCCGTGCGGCTCCGCGGGCACTGCCGGTGCTGCCACCGCTCCCCGTCAGAGGTGGGCTCGGTGCCGGCGGGGTTTCGCCTCCGTTGCTGACGGCAGCGATCCCGAGCGCCACCAGCAGGGAAAGCAGCGAGCGAGCGGGGCGGCAAAGAATGCAGCGCGCTGCGGGGGCACCGAGGCTCCGGTGCCCACAAAAGCCGTGCTAGGACAAAAGTCCCCAGGCCACTGAGGCCGGAGAAGAAGCGCAGCCCCGGGAAAACCGCTCCTTGGGCTCTCAACAGTGAATTCCCGCAGGGATTCTTGGGCTGGGCTGGGCCGGGCCAGGTGCCCGGGGCCAGCAAAAGCGCTCTGTGCCTCTGCTCCTGTCCCTGGGCAGGCAACAGAACACAGCAGGAAAGGCTCGGGGCTCTCAAGAAAGGCAGCCAGAGATCTCTCACCCATCATGGGTAAACAGGCTCAGACTGGGAAAATTACATTTAATTGAATTTATTCTCCTAGAAATCAGAGCAAGAGAATAAGATGTACACCAGATCCTAAAAATGCACCTTCTCCACACCGTTCTCCCCTTCCTAGGCTTCACTTTATCCCCAGTTCCCTCCCTCCCTCCTCCCCACACAGTGGCACAGAGGGATGGGGGTTACAGTCTCAGCGCAGGGGGGACACGGGTGAAGCCGCCACCAGGAATTCGCCAGGACCCCCCGGCCCTCAGCGCGGCCCCTCCGCCCGCAGCGAGCCCCGAGCTGGGGCAGCACCGACCGCGGCTCCCACCTGGGGTGAAGCTGCCTCCGAGCTCCGCCGCCGCCTCGCCGGGCTCCGGGTGCCGCCAGCTCAGCTCTTCGGCACTCGATCTGGCAACACTGGCTGCCGAGGGCGGTGTTGGAGCGGCTTTTGGCCGATTCGACAAATCAGCCTCAGGGAAGTACGGAGGGGCGGTGACGAGAGCCCGCACGGGAGGTGCGAGCGGGGCGGAGAGGGGCAGGGCCGGGCCGGGCACGTCAAGCAAATCACCCGAATGATTGTGTTTTCTTGGACCAAAGTGAATCACGGCGCTGTATTGGGAGTCAGAGGCATTTTTAGGAGTCACGCCAGCAGAGCAGTCAGGTCACTCTTGTCCTGCAAAAACCTTGCTAAGGAAAAGGGCTCTGTGCTATTGGCGCAGGTCGAGAACGGCAGCCCCGGGAAGCCGCTTCTGGGGCTCACAACAGTGACTCACGGCAGGGATTCTCGGAGCGAGCCTGGCCAGGTGCCCGCTGCCACGAACACCGCTCTGTGCCTCTCCTCTTCCCCCCCGGCCCGGCCGCCTCATGGCGCCCCCTCACCCGGCCTGCGAGCTGCCGGCTGCTGCTGGCCCGGGGCAGCTGCGGCTCGGAGCCCGGCCCTGCCGAGGGGCAAGAAGCAGCAGCCCCGGGCTGCTCACCATTGTGCCCCGCATTCCCTGCCCCGGCGCCTTGGAGCCCGGGCACACCGAGCGCCAGCACGGCCGCTGCGGCTCCCTGCCTGTGGGAAAAATGACCAGGGAGTTTTGGCTTTCACGTTTATGTATGAGCCGGTGCATGTTGTTGTTGATTATAATGATTTAGTATCAATTCTAACTCTTTCTATCTGGATGCTAATGTAATATAATCTATATGTTTAAGTATGCACTGTATTGCTCATGGACACAGTAGTGTAATGAAAATCTATATATCACTTATGAAAATCAGAGTGTGATCAATGTACTGTATTTTAGACCTTAGCAAACATCAGATGTGAAAAACGCTTTTATGTAACTAAAAACAGTGTAAGGCCATCCACTGACCAACCTGTCCAAGAGATAAAATAACTGTGACCAAAACCAGAGCAATGGAGGACAATTAGAGACTACCACGTTAAAATTAAGGAGAAAATACTAAAATCTTATCACAGGATGTGAAACCGCAGGATGCAGATACAAGAATAAATAAAATACATTGACCTGACACCCAGGAAGTCATGCAGATAAGAGTGTGAAGAAGTCAGACAAAGGAGTTCCCTAAACACAAGAAAGCTCAAAAGAATGTTCGGATAATGCTTTAAATACATGAATATACATGCACCTCAGCGATATAACAGTATAAACAGAACATTATCAGTACACCCCGGTGGGTTCTTTCACTGCTGACCAGGAGCACCCAGCGCTGGAATTAATATCCTGTTTATCCTACTACTATTACAACCGTTATTGACCTTTCAAAACCACTAAGGAGTGAATTCCATTTTCCTCACCTGTCAAGGGGGGAACACAGCACAAGGAATTCACCAGAACGCCCCAACTCCCCCCCGCCCCTCCTCCCCCCCACCGCAGCCCCCTCCGCCCGCGGCGCGGCACGATCGAGCGCGGGTCACACCTGGACTGGAGCCGCCTCTGAGCTCCGCCACCGCCGCCTCTCCGGGCTCCGGCATGACACGAACGCGCCGCTCGCCGCCGCTCCCGTCCCCGCTTGACCAAGGCGCCGCGGGCGCTGACGTGCGGAGCGGTCTCATGCAATGGCACTGATTGGAGCGGAAGCGGCCGCCGCGGCCGAGCTCTCCGCCCACCTGACCAATCAGCAGCCAGGAGCGCAGCCATGGCGGAGCGGAAGCACCGCCCCCAAGGGCGGGGGGGTCGGGGCGCTGCCCGCGGCCATTTTGCCCCCCCCCCGGCCCCCGCCGAGCCCCGTGCAGGTCCCAGCTCGGCTTTTCCCTCGCTGCCGCCGGGGCTTTTCCCGCTCCTGGGGCTCGGCTTTGCCCGGCGGCTCCCGCTGGCCCCGGCGGAACTCACTCCCCCCCCGTGGCTCCCCAACCCTGCGGCGGGGCGAACCCCCGGCATTTGCCCCAAGGGCTCTGACTGCCCCTGGTTACTGAAGCCTCACGCACCGTGTTCTAGAATGCCGTAAACATGGGCTGAAATGCCTTTGTAAAGTTAACCTTGTGTTTTTCACTAACTCTGATTTCACTGAGAATTGTTACCGGAGAGAGTCAAAGCTGTAAATGCAGTGCTTCATTATTATTATCATGTGCAGCACAACACAATCGAATTTCCTTAACAGAAATGCTGATAACATTTACCATATGCTATTACACTTAATACAAACTCGAGAAGCTCCCGGTTATTGCTGGACTCTTTGCCAAATTCTCCACTGCTGTTTCTTTTGGTACAATTACGCTTTAAAAAGTCTTAGTAAATTTATGGTTCCTTAAAATTTGGGGCTACCATGAGTTTTTCTCAATGTTAAATTACACAGGGTCACCATATTTGTCACACTTTTCTAATCCCTCCAGTATATCCATCAGGGCGTTATATCAGCCATGCTTTGTTCACATTTTCAGTGCCTTTTGGTGTTAATAGCAGCAGAATAAGTTACATTTTGTAGTACCCAGAACCTTTTAAGGATATTGATTATTAGTTCAGTTCTGATTTATTTGAATATGATTTTAGTCTTGGTAAGATTAAGCAAAGTGAAATCTGAGTAATGTTAGGTTATGCTTTATTGCTCTATTGAGTTACTTTTGTTGAGAGTCATTTATGTTGAGGTGGATTTCTGTCAGGATTGAGTATTGCTGAGTTTAGACAAGGTCGAGTTTACGTCTCCACTTTAAGCCATTTCATGTTCTATTCCAATTTCATTAAGATCAGTTTTTATTCGGTATTAAAGAGGTTAACTTTAAGTTCCTTTAAGTGTACCTCTAATGCCACTGAGGTGACACTGAATTCCACTGCAATTAATTTTAGGCCCTAAGTTAATTTGGTTTAAATATGTTTCTTTACATTGCAAGATGTAGTTCTTCTCTTCTAGAGATAAGACAGATGCCACTGAAACAGCTGTGATGAAACACTGATAAGCACCTGCTTTTGGATAGGAGAAGCTACAGCTTGTTGGGCCCTTGATCCTCTCACAGCTTGCACAGGTGCCAGTGCTGCACTGCCTGACAGGATCATTCACTGTGATCTCTTCTGTTCTATCTTCCACAGATAGCACAGGAGAGAGGGTGGTTGTTCTACATGATGGCTGTTAGCCACTGGAAGCTGTTCAGTGTTCCATTGTTGTGGGTACAGCAATGCTGGAAGAATATTGGCTCCAATTCCTGAGACAGTCACTGCTGATGGATCGGTTCCATCATGTCAATTCACTCATTTTTATAACAGGCATTCTTCATAAGACACCATTACCTTACTCATAACTGGCTTTTCATGAACTTTGAGCTATCTTTGTGTGACTATCCACAAGACATGGTGTCACTTTGGGATCTCTCTGTTTTGCTCTTAACAGGCATTCTTCATAAGACACCATTACCTTACTCATAACTGGCTTTTCATGAACTTTGAGCTATCTTTGTGTGACTATCCACAAGACATGGTGTCACTTTGGGATCTCTCTGTTTTGCTCTCCAGCTGCAGATGCCTCTCTTTGAACAGGCTGTCTGCAGCCATTCCCTGCGCTGCCTGCTCAGCCTTTAGTCCCTTCTCTTGTTCCAGCAGGGTTGCTGTGCCTTCAGCCAGGGCTGTCTCCTGATTTTCCTGTGTTTCCAGAGTTCCAGGATGAGATCTCTGGGCTCTGTCAAAAGCCTCATCTGAGCTGAGGTCCTGTGGCCTTTCCCAACCCTTTTGTGACCCATCCTCGTGGGCCAGGGCTGTGACCTGCTGAGGGCAAGGCTGCTCCTGCTCTGTGCCAATCACACACAGCCCCGTTATTCTCACAGAAGGGCATTTGTGGCACTGTGGCTCTATCCTAAATGGACCATTTCCCAAAGGAGTTCCAGTGCCTTGGTTTCACTGACTCAAGATGGCTTTTCAAGGAACCTGGTTTGATGCACTCCATTTCTAAACCAGGAGCGCACAGCGCTCCTGCACTCCCTGCCAGGGTCATTCTTTGAGCCTTGGAGAAAGGCTTTAAAGCAGCACAGAGCTTGCTGAGCACCAACAACTTCATCCAAAATTCAAATCAATAGCACGGACAGAGCCTGACTTGAATCCTATTTAAAAACTGAATTAAAGAGCAGTTGCATTGCCAATTGACAAGATGAGAAAGGTTTCCTTAGCAGTTGCTGAGATGACAAATTAAGGGAGAGGACGAAGCACGGAGGGGAAAACCTTCATTTACACAGTGGAGTTTTAACCATCGTGCTCATATCTGAAGGACTTGCAGAAACCATTCTAATCTCAAGAAAGGAAAAGGTTCCTGGATATTTCTCATTTCAGCAGGAGCCTGAGGAAGCCCTCATCAGCAGGAGATTGGGATAAGTGCAAGGCTGCTTTCTGGAGCAGAGGGAGCCGGGTGTGCTCCTCAAAGCCAGACCTTCACCCACAGCAGCCAGAAGGTAGAAAAACAAGGACCCAACAAAGCTTTAAGTGGGGAATGGATATTCAAGGGTTTTATATGGAAAGAACAAGGTCGGGGAAATAACCTGGAAGGTGAGAGAGGAAGGAAACAGGGAGGCAGCTGAGGCCTCTTCAGATTGGAAAAGAGAAAAGAAGGGAGGAGAATGGAGGAGACAAGAAAAGGCTGGGACTAAATTCCAACACAGCCGGTACGGCCGCTGTGGCTCCCTGCCTGTGAACACGGGGGAAGCCGCCACCAGGAACTCGCCAGACCCCCCTGGCCCCTCACCGCGGGTCCCACCTGGGCTGGAGCCGCCCCTGAGCTCCGCCATCGCCTCGCCAGGCCCCGCCGCAGCTCCGGAACTAAACGAACAATCCTGCCCGCCCATTCCGCCAAAACTCAGAGCCCAGGGCGGCGTGGGAGGGGCTGCGGCCGATTCCAGCGCCAGCGGGTGGGGGGGCAGCGACGGGAGGGGCGGGAGCGGAGACTGGAAGGGCCGCGTGCAGCGGCAGTGGAAGGGAAGGGCCGTGTGCAGCGGAAGTGGCGGAGGCCAGCGCCCTCACATACCGCCCACATTCTAATTCTCCTCCATTTCCTTTTCCTTAGCGCGGGTTTTTTGGGACGGCAGCCCCCCCTCGCCCCCCGCGGAGCCTTTCTGCTTCAAGCAGATCAAATTAATCCCAAGTGTCATCGATTTCCACCACCTGCTATTATTTCTCTCCTCTTTTCGAAGTAAATGGACTTCGCAGTTCTTTTCTTTCCTCCCACTGAGCTGGAAAGCAAAATGCTTGCCTGCCCCATGGCAATCCCAGCCGCCGGGCACCGCTCCAGCCTTGTCCCTTTTTCTCTCCCCTTTACTTGGCACCACTTTCTCCCTCCTCCTCCTCTCCCTGCCAGCTGGCAGCAAAGGCATTTCACCCACTGGCACCAGCTGCCTCCTCTCCCTCGTTCCCATATTGCCCATTCTGAACTCCTGGAGACGCCTGCCCGCGGAGCCGCAGCCGCCGTGAGGCCGGGTAATGGTGCAGGGAATGGTGGCAGGGATTCTTGGGCTGCGCTGGGCCAGGGTCCGTGCCGGGGGCCACCAAAAGCGCTCAGTGTCTCTCCTCTTCCCCCTGGCCCGGCCGCCTCATGGCGCCCCCTCACCCGGCCTGCGAGCTGCCGCCTGCTGCTGGCCCGGGGCTTGGAGCCCGTACCTGCCGAGGGGCAAGAAGCAGCAGCCCCGGCTGCTCACCATTGTGCCCCGCAGTCCCTGCCCCGGCGCCTCACTCCCCACAATCGCGTTGTCAGGGAGCCAAGAGCAGTCGGAAAAAAGAAAACATCCTGCTTGCCTAGTCGAGATCCAAGGCATTCCAGGCGTGCTGCCAGGGCTCACGAGTCACAGCTGGTGAGTGAGCTTTCCCGGAGAGGGACTTTGCTAGATCTGTTGTTTATGAATAGGGATGGGCTGGTGGGAGATATGCTGCTTGGAGGCCTCCTGGGGCACGGTGATGATGAAATTACAGTGTTCTCTATATTTGGTGATATCGGGAGGAACGTCAAAAAGACTTTTCCACTGGACTTCAAAAGGGCAGACTGTCCCTGTGTGCCCAAAGAGGAGTTGATGAGGAAAATATCCAGCCTAGATGGGCAATGAGGTTTTGGAAGAACTTAGGAATAAAAGGAGGATGTATCAGCTTTGAAAGGAGGGTCAGGTTTCTCAGGAACTATTTAAGGGGGCTGCTAGGGCAATGTAGGAAAAAAATTAGGGAGGCCAAAGCTCAGTTTGAACTTAATTTGGCAACTTTTGTAAAGGATTACAAATATATTAATAGTAAAAGGAAGGGAAGGACCAGATTTGTTCTCTTTTGGATGCAGGAGGGAACTTAGTAACTGCAGATGAGGAGAAGGCAGAGGTGCTCAATGCCTTCTTTGCCTCAGCCCTTAGTGGAAACACAGCTTGTCCTCAGGACAAGTGAACTCCTGGGCTGGTGGATGGTGTCAGGGAGCAGAATGGGCCCCCTGTTATCCAGGAGGAGGCAGTCAGAGAACTGCTGAGCTGCTTGGATGCTCATAAATCTGTGGGCCCAGAGGGGATCCACCCCAGGGGGATGAGGGAGCTGAGAGATGAGCTTGGGAAGCTGCTCTCCATCATTTACCAACAGATCTCTCAACCTTCATAGGCATAACAAGCCCGGAGTAGGGACATTAATTTTACTTAAATTTATTATCAAATAAATCAGAGCGAGGGAATGAGAAGTACACCAAATCCTAAAATTGCACCTTCCCCGCAGTGCTTCCTCTTTCCTGGGCTTCACTTTATCCCCGATTCCCTCCCTCCTCCCCACACAGTGGCACAGAGCAATGGAGGTGTTTTGGTTTGAAGGACAGGGATCTGCTGCGGAAGGCAGGAGCCTCCCTGGCAATGGAAAATGCAATCCCCCTCCCTCCGAATTATTATAATTGTGAAATGAAGGGGCTCTCAGGCAAACATATGAAAATAGAAATAACGGCCGTTTCAAAGTAAAACAAAGCAAAACCAGAGTATAACAACGTACAAGCCCCAGCGCGGCGCTGCCCCGAGCAGGCCCAGCCCCAGCCCCGCCTCTCCCGGCCGCGCGCGCTTTCCCCTCGCTGCAGTTCCGGGCGCGGCCGGCAGGGGCGCTGGCGGCAGCGGCAGCCGGGTCTGAGCAGGGCAGGGAGAGGCGAGCTCAGGGTCCCGGGCACCCGGGCAGGGGGGACAGGGCCCTCCGGATCGAGGGGTGACAGCGAGGTGCCCCTGCAGGGGCTGCTCTCGCAGGCTCACCCCAGTGCAGGAGATGCTCCTCTGGGCTGGGTTATGGCGCTGGCAGCAAATTCCCTTCCCCAAGCAGCAGCTCTGACTGTCCTCCTATAATGCTGAGAGAGAAATAGAGAGAGACAGAGAGAGAGAGCACCAGCAGCTGACAGACTCTTCTCCACAGTCAGGTGCCAGATGCCCAAAGTGCGCTTCCTCCTCAGAACGTGTCAGCTGTTCTAACTCTGCCAAGGACAGTCCACAAGTATCACCTTCAAGCCACTTTGTGATGATTTCCAAGAGCCCAAGGCAATTTGGATTTCCCATTGGAGCTTGTTGTGTCATGAGGGCAATGCACTCACTGCAGACAGCATCAGTGGCAGGATGGATTGCAGAGACTTTTCCTTTGCAGCCCCAGCCCAGCGTTGGCACTGGGCATGAAGAGGCACTGAGGTGACCCTGAGAGGAAGGGCAAGGCACAGGGTGCAGCTGAGGAAGGACAGCGCTGTGCTGGGCTCAGAGGTGAAGCTGGCACTGCCCAGTGTGGAGAAGGTCCTTTCTGCAGCCCCTGTTACAGGGGAGCTGGGGCCTTGCTGCAGAGATACGGCCGCTCACTGGAGCAGTTGTCACTCCTCAATCTCCTGTCAGCCAGGTACACACACTGGGAATTGCCAAGGACGGGAACCCTGCGGGGAGGAGCAGAGGCAGCGCTGGCTGCCAGGGGCAGCCCTTGTGCCCCTGCACCCCCAGGCCCTGCCCGGCTCCCCGGCACTCACCGGGAGCTGTAGCTGCTGCCGTCCCCCCAGTGCAGGCACTCGCCCCGTCTGCGCAGCCCGAGCCAGTAATCGACGTTCCCACGGAGGAGGAAGAGCAAAATCTGCCCAGGAGAGAGGGGAGGAGTGGGAGCTGCCCCGGCCCCTCAGGGGGACACGGGCCTGGGGCTCCCCCCGCACGCCGGGGCTCCTTCCCTGCAAGGCCCCGGCCCAGGGCTGCAGCCCCGGCCCTACGAGCACCGAGCCCGGCCCAGGAGCACCCCCAGGCTGCCCTCAGCCACCCCACACCGCCCGCAGCCCCTCACTCACCATGGCCTCCTCATCCTTGGCAATGGCAAGGGAGGCCCCGAGCTCGGAGCACCGTTCCTGACCCTGCTCCCAGGTGCTGTAATCCCTTGAGAAGTAGTAGCAGACCCCATTGTAGCCAACCCAGCCACGGGGACAGCCCAGAAGGGACAGAGGAGTCGCAGGTGTGACTGGAACCTGTGGCGCTGCAGGGGGAAGAGGAGAAGGTCTGAGGATTGCCCTGTGCAAGGAGCAGGGAGCCCGCTCTGCCCCGAGGGGCTGGGCCCAGCCTGCTGCCCCTCCCTTACCTGCCAGCACAGCCAAGGCCACCCCCAAAGCCAGCACCAGCACCAGGAGCAGCAGAATCAGCACTGCCGTGCCCACGGGATGGCCCCTGATCCATTCACCTGGAGCAGGAAAGAGCTGCTGGCTGCCAGAAGCAGAGCCGGGCCTGCAATCTGCTCAGCCCATGGCCAGGGAGCAGAGCAGGGAGCCCTGAGCCAGTGTGGGCCTCACTCAGCTGGCAGCCAGAGAGCCAAGAGCCTGGCCACAGGCAGGGACACAGCAGTGGCCACAGGCTGCAGCAGGAGAACTGCACAGCCTTGGGGGCAGCTGGGGCTCTTGCTTCCAGCCACTGATGGGGCCCAGCAGAGCACCAGGCCTCTGCCAGACATCGGGAAACAGCCACACACCTGCCAGCCCTGCCCTTGGGAGGGGACACTGTCCCCACCCTAGAGACCAGGGTGGCCCTGCACTCACCCAGGGGTGAGTGCAGTGCCAGGGGTGGCCCTGCACTCACCCAGGAATCTTCTGCGGTTCCTTTTGTGTTCATTCTTGGTTCCTGATATGCCCTGGGGAGCCAGGGGCTCTCTCACACTCCCATCACTGGTGCAGAATCCATTCTCCACATCTGCACTCACTGCACACTCACAAGTGGCATCCCCGTGCTTATGCCAGGTGGCTTCTTGGGCCCCAGGCAGGTGTGGAACCGCGGCTGCTGGTCCCTGCTGGCGATGCTGGGGCTCATTCGCAACTGCACGAATGGAGCAGAGTTCACTCTCCTCCTGCTCACAGCCGGCATCTCTCTGCCTGCAACAAACAGCACAGAGCCCATGCGGGAGCGGCTTTTGGCCCTTCTGACCGATCTGTGTGCGGGAAAGCAGCGAGGCGGGGTGAAGAGTGGGGGACAGGGGAGCAGCGAGCGGGATTCGAAAGGCAGCGCGCTTCATGGAAATCACGGGAGCCCTTTTGCTTTTTTTGTACCAAAGCGACTCCCGCTGCCACTTCGGGAGCCAGAGGCAGGGGCATATTCAGAAGCAGAAGCCATGCCAGCAGAGCAGTCAGGTCACTCTGTCCTGCAAAAACCTTGCTAGGGAAAAGAGCCCCACTCTGTTGAAGCTGGTCGAGAACCGCAGCCCCGGGGAAGCCGCTTCTGGGGCTCTCAACAGTGAATGACAGCAGGGATTCTTGGAGTGAGCCTGGCCAGGTGCCCGGTGCCACCAAAACGGGCGAGTTCCTTGTGCCGGCTTCCCCCATGTCCCCCCCCGGCCCTCAGCGCGGCCCCTCCGCCCGCAGCGAGCCCCGAGCTGGGGCAGCACCGACCGCGGCTCCCACCTGGACTGGAGCCGCCTCCGAGCTCCGCCGCTGCCTCGCCGGGCTCCGGGTGCCGCCACCTGCACTCTCCGGGCACTCGACCTGGTGCTATCGGCCGCCGAGGGCGGTGTTTGAGCGGCTTTTGGCCGCTTTGACAAATCAGCGTCAGGGAAGCACCGAGGGGCGGTGACGAGAGCCCGGACGGAAACCGCGAGCGGGGCGGGGAGCGGCAGAGCCAGGCAGGGTACGTCATGCAAATCACCCGAATGATTGTGTTTTCTTGGACCAAAGTGACTCACGGCAGGGATTCTTGGAGCGAGCCTGGCCAGGTGCCCAGAGGTGCCACCAAAAGCGCTCTGTGCCTCTCCTCTTCCCCCCCGGCCCGGCCGCCTCATGGCGCCCCCTCACCCGGCCTGCGAGCTGCCGGCTGCTGCTGGCCCGGGGCAGCTGCGGCTCGGAGCCCGGCGCTGCCGAGGGGCAAGAAGCAGTAGCCCCGGCTGCTCACCATTGTGCCCCGCATTCCCTGCCCCGGCGCCTTGGAGCCCGGGCACACCGAGCGCCGGCACGGCCGCTGCGGCTCCCTGCCTGTGGACACGGAGCGGGTCCCGGTACCGAGGGCAGCGCCGAGCAGCCTCGGCCCCGGAGCAGGCAGGATGCGGCGCTTTGTACCCGCACTCGGGCTGCTGCCGCTCTGCGCTCACGCTGCCAGGGCACTCGGGCTGGTGCCGCTCTGCGCTCACGCTCCCAGGGCACTCGGGCTGCTGCCGCCGCAGCTCGGGGCTCTCTCTCTCTCGCTCTGGGAGGGTTTTGCCTCATCCGCGTGCGGCAGCGATGCCGAGCAGCAGGGGAGCAGCGAGCGGGGCGGCAAAGCGAGGAGCGCGTCGCGGGGGCAGCGACGTTGCTGTCCCGAAAAAAGCGTGCGAAGAAAAAGGGCCCCACTCTGTGTGAGCTGGGGAAGAAGCGCAGCCCTGGGGAAGCCGCTCCTGGGGCTCTCAACAGGGAATTCTCGCAGAGATTCTTGGGCTGGGCTGGGCAAGGCCAGGTGCCCGGGGCCAGCAAAAGCGCTCTGGCCTCTCCTGCTGCCCCTGTGCAGACAACAGATCACAGCAGGAAAGGCTCGGGGCTCTCAAGAAAGGCAGCCAGAGATCTCTCACCCATCATGGGTAGAACAGGCCCGGACTGGGGAAATTACATTTAATTGAATTTATTATCATACAAATCAGAGCAAGAGAATAATATACAATAGAATACAATACAATAGAATACAATACAACCTATAATATAATAAAACCAAACCCTAAAAAGTGTTCCTGACACTGTTCTCTGCTTCCTGGGCTTCACTTTGTCCCCAGTTCCCTCCCTCCCTCCTCCCCACACAGTGGCACAGAGGGATGGGTCATGTCACTGCTTCTCCCTCAGGGAGAAAAACCCTGATCCTGCTCCAGCCTGGGACTCCTCCCACAGGAGGACAGTCAGATCCTTCACACACAGACAGACAGACAGCAGACCCTTCTTCACAGCCAGGTGCCTGATGCCGAAAATGGGATTCCACCTCAGCATGTGTCAGCTGTTCTTCTTCTTCCAAAGACAGTCCAAAAGTGTCCCATTCTGGCCACTTGGAGATGATTTCCAAGAGCTCAAGGCAATTTGGATTTCCCATTGGGGCTTGTTGTGTCAAGAGGGCAATGCAGTCACTGCAGGCAGCACCGGTGGCAGGATGGATTGCAGAGACTTTTCCTTTGCAGCCCCAGCCCAGCGTTGGCACTGGGCATGAAGAGGCACTGAGGTGACCCTGAGAGGGAGTGCAAGGCACAGGGTGCAGCTGAGGAAGGACAGCGCTGTGCTGGGCTCAGAGGTGAAGCTGGCACTGCCCAGTGTGGAGAAGGTCCTTTCTGCAGCCCCTGTTACGGGGGAGCTGGGGCCTTGCTGCAGAGATACGGCCGCTGATTGGAGCAGTTGTCACTCCTCAATCTCCTGTCAGCCAGGTACACGCACTGGGAATCGCCGAGGACGGGAACCCTGCGGGGAGGAGCAGAGGCAGCGCTGGCTGCCAGGGGCAGCCCTTGTGCCCCTGCGCCCCCAGGCCCTGCCCGGCTCCCCGGCACTCACCGGGAGCTGTAGCTGCTGCCGTCCCCCCAGTGCAGGCGCTCGCCCCGTCTGCGCAGCCCGAGCCAGTAATCGACCTTCCCACAGACACGGGAGAGCAAAATCTGCCCAGGAGAGAGGGGAGGAGTGGGAGCTGCCCCGGCCCCTCAGGGGGACACGGGCCCGGGGCTCCTTCCCTGCAAGGCCCCGGCCCAGGGCTGCGGCCCCGGCCCTACGAGCACCGAGCCCGGCCCAGGAGCACCCCCAGGCTGCCCTCAGCCACCCCACACCGCCCGCAGCCCCTCACTCACCATTTCCTCATCCTTGGCAATGGCCAGGGAGGCCCCGAGCTCGGAGCACCGTTCCTGACCCTGCTCCCAGGTGCCGTAATCCTGTGAGAAGTAGTAGCAGACCCCATTGTAGCCAACCCAGCCACGGGGACAGCCCAGAAGTGACAGCGGAGTCGCAGCTGTGACTGGAACCTGTGGCACTGCAGGGGGAAGAGGAGAAGGTCTGAGGATTGCCCTGTGCAAGGAGCAGGGAGCCCGCTCTGCCCCGAGGGGCTGGGCCCAGCCTGCTGCCCCTCCCTTACCTGCCAGCACAGCCAAGGCCACCCCCAAAGCCAGCACCAGCACCAGGAGCAGCAGAATCAGCACCGCCGTGCCCACGGGATGGCCCCTGATCCATTCACCTGGAGCAGGAAAGAGCTGCTGGCTGCCAGAAGCAGAGCCGGGCCTGCAATCTGCTCAGCCCATGGCCAGGGAGCAGAGCAGGGAGCCCTGAGCCAGTGTGGGCCTCACTCAGCTGGCAGCCAGAGAGCCAAGAGCCTGGCCACAGGCAGGGACACAGCAGTGGCCACAGGCAGGGACACAGCAGTGGCCACAGGCTGCAGCAGGAGAACTGCACAGCCTTGGGGGCAGCTGGGGCTCTTGCTTCCAGCCACTGATGGGGCCCAGCAGAGCACCAGGCCTCTGCCAGACATCGGGAAACAGCCACACACCTGCCAGCCCTGCCCTTGGGAGGGGACACTGTCCCCACCCTAGAGGCCACAGGGGTGGCCCTGCACTCACCCAGGAATCTTCTGCGGTTCCTTTTGTGTTCATTCTTGGTTCCTGATATGCCCTGGGGAGCCAGGGGCTCTCTCACACTCCCATCACTGGTGCAGAATCCATTCTCCACATCTGCACTCACTGCACACTCACAAGTGGCATCCCCCTGCTTATGCCAGGTGGCTTCTTGGGCCCCAGGCAGGTGTGGAACCGCGGCTGCTGGTCCCTGCTGGGGATGCTGGGGCTCATTCGCAACTGCACGAATGGAGCAGACTTCACTCTCGTCCAGCCCACAGGCAGCATCTCTCTGCCTGGAACAATCAGTACTTTGCTTCGGAGACATCAGGAGTGCTGCTGGCAGATCCTTTGGGAGCTCGGCCTCGGGAACAGCTTCGCAGCCGCGCTGATGGCACCCTGAAAGGGACACGGGGAGAGGTCACTGCTGGTGCCGGCGCTGGGGGCTCAGGAGGGCGGTGGCAGCTGTGGCTGCGCTGTCCCCGCTGCCCAGAGGTGCGGCAGCAGCTGCGGAGACAAGCGCAGCCTCCGGGAGCTGGAGCAGCACCGACCGCGGGTGGCGCCTGGCCTGGAGCCGCCTCCGAGCTCCGCCGCCGCCTCGCCGGGCTCCGGGTGCCGCCCCCGCTGGGGAATGACCCGAACGCTCCGCCCGCCGCCCCTCCCATCCCGGCCGGGCTCCGCGGGCACTCGGGCTGGTGCCGCTCTGCGCTCACGCTGCCAGGGCACTCGGGCTGGTGCCTCAGCACAGAGCCCATGCGGGAGCGGCTTTTGGCCCATTTGACCGATCTGCGTGCGGGAAAGCAGCGAGGCGGGGTGAAGAGTGGGGGACAGGGGAGCAGCGAGCGGGCTTCGAAAGGCAGCGCGCTTCATGGAAATCACGGGAGCCCTTTTGCTTTCTTGTACCAAAGCGACTCCCGGTGCCTCCATTGGGAGCCAGAGGCAGGGGCATATTCAGAAGCAGAAGCCACGCCAGCAGAGCAGTCAGGTCACTCCTGTCCTGCAAAAACCTTGCTAGGGAAAAGGGCCCCACTCTGTTGAAGCTGGTCGAGAACCGCAGCCCCGGGGAAGCCGCTCCTGGGGCTCTCAACAGTGAATGACAGCAGGGATTCTTGGAGTGAGCCTGGCCAGGTGCCCGGTGCCACCAAAACGGGCGAGTTCCTTGTGCCGAATTCCCCCATGTCCCCCCCGGCCCTCAGCGCGGCCCCTCCGCCCGCAGCGAGCCCCGAGCTGGGGCAGCACCGACCGCGGCTCCCACCTGGACTGGAGCCGCCTCCGAGCTCCTCCGCCGCCTCGCCGGGCTCCGGGTGCCGCCACCTGCACTCTCCGGGCACTCGACCTGGTGCTATCGGCCGCCGAGGGCGGTGTTTGAGCGGCTTTTGGCCGCTTTGACAAATCAGCGTCAGGGAAGCACCGAGGGGCGGTGACGAGAGCCCGGACGGGAACCGCGAGCGGGGCGGGGAGCGGCAGAGCCAGGCAGGGTACGTCATGCAAATCACCCGAATGATTGTGTTTTCTTGGACCAAATTGATTCACGGCAGGGATTCTTGGAGTGAGGCTGGCCAGGTGCCCAGAGGTGCCACCAAAAGCGCTCTGTGCCTCTCCTCTTCCCCCCCGGCCCGGCCGCCTCATGGCGCCCCCTCACCCGGCCTGCGAGCTGCCGGCTGCTGCTGGCCCGGGGCAGCTGCGGCTCGGAGCCCGGCCCTGCCGAGGGGCAAGAAGCAGCAGCCCCGGGCTGCTCACCATTGTGCCCCGCATTCCCTGCCCCGGCGCCTTGGAGCCCGGGCACACCGAGCGCCGGCACGGCCGCTGCGGCTCCCTGCCTGTGGACACGGAGCGGGTCCCGGTACCGAGGGCAGCGCCGAGCAGCCTCGGCCCCGGAGCAGGCAGGATGCGGCGCTTTGTGCCCGCACTCGGGCTGCTGCCGCTCTGCGCTCACGCTGCCAGGGCACTCGGGCTGCTGCCGCCGCAGCTCGGGGCTCTCTCTCTCTCGCTCTGGGAGGGTTTTGCCTCATCCGCGTGCGGCAGCGATGCCGAGCAGCAGGGGAGCAGCGAGCGGGGCGGCAAAGCGAGGAGCGCGTCGCGGGGGCAGCGACGTTGCTGTCCCGAAAAAAGCGTGCGAAGAAAAAGGGCCCCACTCTGTGTGAGCTGGGGAAGAAGCGCAGCCCGGGGAAGCCGCTCCTGGGGCTCTCAACAGGGAATTCTCGCAGGGATTCTTGGGCTGGGCTGGGCAAGGCCAGGTGCCCGGGCCAGCAAAAGCGCTCTGGCCTCTCCTGCTGCCCCTGTGCAGACAACAGATCACAGCAGGAAAGGCTCGGGGCTCTCAAGAAAGGCAGCCAGAGATCTCTCACCCATCATGGGTAGAACAGGCCCGGACTGGGGAAATTACATTTAATTGAATTTATTATCATACAAATCAGAGCAAGAGAATAATATACAATAGAATACAATACAATAGAATACAATACAACCTATAATATAATAAAACCAAACCCTAAAAAGTGTTCCTGACACTGTTCTCTGCTTCCTGGGCTTCACTTTGTCCCCAGTTCCCTCCCTCCCTCCTCCCCACACAGTGGCACAGAGGGATGGGTCATGTCACTGCTTCTCCCTCAGGGAGAAAAACCCTGATCCTGCTCCAGCCTGGGACTCCTCCCACAGGAGGACAGTCAGATCCTTCACACACAGACAGACAGACAGCAGACCCTTCTTCACAGCCAGGTGCCTGATGCCGAAAATGGGATTCCACCTCAGCATGTGTCAGCTGTTCTTCTTCTTCCAAAGACAGTCCAAAAGTGTCCCATTCTGGCCACTTGGAGATGATTTCCAAGAGCTCAAGGCAATTTGGATTTCCCATTGGGGCTTGTTGTGTCAAGAGGGCAATGCAGTCACTGCAGGCAGCACCGGTGGCAGGATGGATTGCAGAGACTTTTCCTTTGCAGCCCCAGCCCAGCGTTGGCACTGGGCATGAAGAGGCACTGAGGTGACCCTGAGAGGGAGTGCAAGGCACAGGGTGCAGCTGAGGAAGGACAGCGCTGTGCTGGGCTCAGAGGTGAAGCTGGCACTGCCCAGTGTGGAGAAGGTCCTTTCTGCAGCCCCTGTTACGGGGGAGCTGGGGCCTTGCTGCAGAGATACGGCCGCTGATTGGAGCAGTTGTCACTCCTCAATCTCCTGTCAGCCAGGTACACGCACTGGGAATCGCCGAGGACGGGAACCCTGCGGGGAGGAGCAGAGGCAGCGCTGGCTGCCAGGGGCAGCCCTTGTGCCCCTGCGCCCCCAGGCCCTGCCCGGCTCCCCGGCACTCACCGGGAGCTGTAGCTGCTGCCGTCCCCCCAGTGCAGGCGCTCGCCCCGTCTGTGCTGCCCGAGCCAGTAATCGACCTTCCCACAGACACGGGAGAGCAAAATCTGCCCAGGAGAGAGGGGAGGAGTGGGAGCTGCCCCGGCCCCTCAGGGGGACACGGGCCCGGGGCTCCTTCCCTGCAAGGCCCCGGCCCAGGGCTGCGGCCCCGGCCCTACGAGCACCGAGCCCGGCCCAGGAGCACCCCCAGGCTGCCCTCAGCCACCCCACACCGCCCGCAGCCCCTCACTCACCATTTCCTCATCCTTGGCAATGGCCAGGGAGGCCCCGAGCTCGGAGCACCGTTCCTGACCCTGCTCCCAGGTGCCGTAATCCTGTGAGAAGTAGTAGCAGACCCCATTGTAGCCAACCCAGCCACGGGGACAGCCCAGAAGTGACAGCGGAGTCGCAGCTGTGACTGGAACCTGTGGCACTGCAGGGGGAAGAGGAGAAGGTCTGAGGATTGCCCTGTGCAAGGAGCAGGGAGCCCGCTCTGCCCCGAGGGGCTGGGCCCAGCCTGCTGCCCCTCCCTTACCTGCCAGCACAGCCAAGGCCACCCCCAAAGCCAGCACCAGCACCAGGAGCAGCAGAATCAGCACCGCCGTGCCCACGGGATGGCCCCTGATCCATTCACCTGGAGCAGGAAAGAGCTGCTGGCTGCCAGAAGCAGAGCCGGGCCTGCAATCTGCTCAGCCCATGGCCAGGGAGCAGAGCAGGGAGCCCTGAGCCAGTGTGGGCCTCACTCAGCTGGCAGCCAGAGAGCCAAGAGCCTGGCCACAGGCAGGGACACAGCAGTGGCCACAGGCAGGGACACAGCAGTGGCCACAGGCTGCAGCAGGAGAACTGCACAGCCTTGGGGGCAGCTGGGGCTCTTGCTTCCAGCCACTGATGGGGCCCAGCAGAGCACCAGGCCTCTGCCAGACATCGGGAAACAGCCACACACCTGCCAGCCCTGCCCTTGGGAGGGGACACTGTCCCCACCCTAGAGGCCACAGGGGTGGCCCTGCACTCACCCAGGAATCTTCTGCGGTTCCTTTTGTGTTCATTCTTGGTTCCTGATATGCCCTGGGGAGCCAGGGGCTCTCTCACACTCCCATCACTGGTGCAGAATCCATTCTCCACATCTGCACTCACTGCACACTCACAAGTGGCATCCCCCTGCTTATGCCAGGTGGCTTCTTGGGCCCCAGGCAGGTGTGGAACCGCGGCTGCTGGTCCCTGCTGGGGATGCTGGGGCTCATTCGCAACTGCACGAATGGAGCAGACTTCACTCTCGTCCAGCCCACAGGCAGCATCTCTCTGCCTGGAACAATCAGTACTTTGCTTCGGAGACATCAGGAGTGCTGCTGGCAGATCCTTTGGGAGCTCGGCCTCGGGAACAGCTTCGCAGCCGCGCTGATGGCACCCTGAAAGGGACACGGGGAGAGGTCACTGCTGGTGCCGGCGCTGGGGGCTCAGGAGGGCGGTGGCAGCTGTGGCTGCGCTGTCCCCGCTGCCCAGAGGTGCGGCAGCAGCTGCGGAGACAAGCGCAGCCTCCGGGAGCTGGAGCAGCACCGACCGCGGGTGGCGCCTGGCCTGGAGCCGCCTCCGAGCTCCGCCGCCGCCTCGCCGGGCTCCGGGTGCCGCCCCCGCTGGGGAATGACCCGAACGCTCCGCCCGCCGCCCCTCCCATCCCGGCCGGGCTCCGCGGGCACTCGGGCTGGTGCCGCTCTGCGCTCACGCTGCCAGGGCACTCGGGCTGGTGCCTCAGCACAGAGCCCATGCGGGAGCGGCTTTTGGCCCATTTGACCGATCTGCGTGCGGGAAAGCAGCGAGGCGGGGTGAAGAGTGGGGGACAGGGGAGCAGCGAGCGGGCTTCGAAAGGCAGCGCGCTTCATGGAAATCACGGGAGCCCTTTTGCTTTCTTGTACCAAAGCGACTCCCGGTGCCTCCATTGGGAGCCAGAGGCAGGGGCATATTCAGAAGCAGAAGCCACGCCAGCAGAGCAGTCAGGTCACTCCTGTCCTGCAAAAACCTTGCTAGGGAAAAGGGCCCCACTCTGTTGAAGCTGGTCGAGAACCGCAGCCCCGGGGAAGCCGCTCCTGGGGCTCTCAACAGTGAATGACAGCAGGGATTCTTGGAGTGAGCCTGGCCAGGTGCCCGGTGCCACCAAAACGGGCGAGTTCCTTGTGCCGAATTCCCCCATGTCCCCCCCGGCCCTCAGCGCGGCCCCTCCGCCCGCAGCGAGCCCCGAGCTGGGGCAGCACCGACCGCGGCTCCCACCTGGACTGGAGCCGCCTCCGAGCTCCTCCGCCGCCTCGCCGGGCTCCGGGTGCCGCCACCTGCACTCTCCGGGCACTCGACCTGGTGCTATCGGCCGCCGAGGGCGGTGTTTGAGCGGCTTTTGGCCGATTTGACAAATCAGCGTCAGGGAAGCACCGAGGGGCGGTGACGAGAGCCCGGACGGGAACCGCGAGCGGGGCGGGGAGCGGCAGAGCCAGGCAGGGTACGTCATGCAAATCACCCGAATGATTGTGTTTTCTTGGACCAAATTGATTCACGGCAGGGATTCTTGGAGTGAGGCTGGCCAGGTGCCCAGAGGTGCCACCAAAAGCGCTCTGTGCCTCTCCTCTTCCCCCCCGGCCCGGCCGCCTCATGGCGCCCCCTCACCCGGCCTGCGAGCTGCCGGCTGCTGCTGGCCCGGGGCAGCTGCGGCTCGGAGCCCGGCCCTGCCGAGGGGCAAGAAGCAGCAGCCCCGGGCTGCTCACCATTGTGCCCCGCATTCCCTGCCCCGGCGCCTTGGAGCCCGGGCACACCGAGCGCCGGCACGGCCGCTGCGGCTCCCTGCCTGTGGACACGGAGCGGGTCCCGGTACCGAGGGCAGCGCCGAGCAGCCTCGGCCCCGGAGCAGGCAGGATGCGGCGCTTTGTGCCCGCACTCGGGCTGCTGCCGCTCTGCGCTCACGCTGCCAGGGCACTCGGGCTGCTGCCGCCGCAGCTCGGGGCTCTCTCTCTCTCGCTCTGGGAGGGTTTTGCCTCATCCGCGTGCGGCAGCGATGCCGAGCAGCAGGGGAGCAGCGAGCGGGGCGGCAAAGCGAGGAGCGCGTCGCGGGGGCAGCGACGTTGCTGTCCCGAAAAAAGCGTGCGAAGAAAAAGGGCCCCACTCTGTGTGAGCTGGGGAAGAAGCGCAGCCCGGGGAAGCCGCTCCTGGGGCTCTCAACAGGGAATTCTCGCAGGGATTCTTGGGCTGGGCTGGGCAAGGCCAGGTGCCCGGGCCAGCAAAAGCGCTCTGGCCTCTCCTGCTGCCCCTGTGCAGACAACAGATCACAGCAGGAAAGGCTCGGGGCTCTCAAGAAAGGCAGCCAGAGATCTCTCACCCATCATGGGTAGAACAGGCCCGGACTGGGGAAATTACATTTAATTGAATTTATTATCATACAAATCAGAGCAAGAGAATAATATACAATAGAATACAATACAATAGAATACAATACAACCTATAATATAATAAAACCAAACCCTAAAAAGTGTTCCTGACACTGTTCTCTGCTTCCTGGGCTTCACTTTGTCCCCAGTTCCCTCCCTCCCTCCTCCCCACACAGTGGCACAGAGGGATGGGTCATGTCACTGCTTCTCCCTCAGGGAGAAAAACCCTGATCCTGCTCCAGCCTGGGACTCCTCCCACAGGAGGACAGTCAGATCCTTCACACACAGACAGACAGACAGCAGACCCTTCTTCACAGCCAGGTGCCTGATGCCGAAAATGGGATTCCACCTCAGCATGTGTCAGCTGTTCTTCTTCTTCCAAAGACAGTCCAAAAGTGTCCCATTCTGGCCACTTGGAGATGATTTCCAAGAGCTCAAGGCAATTTGGATTTCCCATTGGGGCTTGTTGTGTCAAGAGGGCAATGCAGTCACTGCAGGCAGCACCGGTGGCAGGATGGATTGCAGAGACTTTTCCTTTGCAGCCCCAGCCCAGCGTTGGCACTGGGCATGAAGAGGCACTGAGGTGACCCTGAGAGGGAGTGCAAGGCACAGGGTGCAGCTGAGGAAGGACAGCGCTGTGCTGGGCTCAGAGGTGAAGCTGGCACTGCCCAGTGTGGAGAAGGTCCTTTCTGCAGCCCCTGTTACGGGGGAGCTGGGGCCTTGCTGCAGAGATACGGCCGCTGATTGGAGCAGTTGTCACTCCTCAATCTCCTGTCAGCCAGGTACACGCACTGGGAATCGCCGAGGACGGGAACCCTGCGGGGAGGAGCAGAGGCAGCGCTGGCTGCCAGGGGCAGCCCTTGTGCCCCTGCGCCCCCAGGCCCTGCCCGGCTCCCCGGCACTCACCGGGAGCTGTAGCTGCTGCCGTCCCCCCAGTGCAGGCGCTCGCCCCGTCTGTGCTGCCCGAGCCAGTAATCGACCTTCCCACAGACACGGGAGAGCAAAATCTGCCCAGGAGAGAGGGGAGGAGTGGGAGCTGCCCCGGCCCCTCAGGGGGACACGGGCCCGGGGCTCCTTCCCTGCAAGGCCCCGGCCCAGGGCTGCGGCCCCGGCCCTACGAGCACCGAGCCCGGCCCAGGAGCACCCCCAGGCTGCCCTCAGCCACCCCACACCGCCCGCAGCCCCTCACTCACCATTTCCTCATCCTTGGCAATGGCCAGGGAGGCCCCGAGCTCGGAGCACCGTTCCTGACCCTGCTCCCAGGTGCCGTAATCCTGTGAGAAGTAGTAGCAGACCCCATTGTAGCCAACCCAGCCACGGGGACAGCCCAGAAGTGACAGCGGAGTCGCAGCTGTGACTGGAACCTGTGGCACTGCAGGGGGAAGAGGAGAAGGTCTGAGGATTGCCCTGTGCAAGGAGCAGGGAGCCCGCTCTGCCCCGAGGGGCTGGGCCCAGCCTGCTGCCCCTCCCTTACCTGCCAGCACAGCCAAGGCCACCCCCAAAGCCAGCACCAGCACCAGGAGCAGCAGAATCAGCACCGCCGTGCCCACGGGATGGCCCCTGATCCATTCACCTGGAGCAGGAAAGAGCTGCTGGCTGCCAGAAGCAGAGCCGGGCCTGCAATCTGCTCAGCCCATGGCCAGGGAGCAGAGCAGGGAGCCCTGAGCCAGTGTGGGCCTCACTCAGCTGGCAGCCAGAGAGCCAAGAGCCTGGCCACAGGCAGGGACACAGCAGTGGCCACAGGCAGGGACACAGCAGTGGCCACAGGCTGCAGCAGGAGAACTGCACAGCCTTGGGGGCAGCTGGGGCTCTTGCTTCCAGCCACTGATGGGGCCCAGCAGAGCACCAGGCCTCTGCCAGACATCGGGAAACAGCCACACACCTGCCAGCCCTGCCCTTGGGAGGGGACACTGTCCCCACCCTAGAGGCCACAGGGGTGGCCCTGCACTCACCCAGGAATCTTCTGCGGTTCCTTTTGTGTTCATTCTTGGTTCCTGATATGCCCTGGGGAGCCAGGGGCTCTCTCACACTCCCATCACTGGTGCAGAATCCATTCTCCACATCTGCACTCACTGCACACTCACAAGTGGCATCCCCCTGCTTATGCCAGGTGGCTTCTTGGGCCCCAGGCAGGTGTGGAACCGCGGCTGCTGGTCCCTGCTGGGGATGCTGGGGCTCATTCGCAACTGCACGAATGGAGCAGACTTCACTCTCGTCCAGCCCACAGGCAGCATCTCTCTGCCTGGAACAATCAGTACTTTGCTTCGGAGACATCAGGAGTGCTGCTGGCAGATCCTTTGGGAGCTCGGCCTCGGGAACAGCTTCGCAGCCGCGCTGATGGCACCCTGAAAGGGACACGGGGAGAGGTCACTGCTGGTGCCGGCGCTGGGGGCTCAGGAGGGCGGTGGCAGCTGTGGCTGCGCTGTCCCCGCTGCCCAGAGGTGCGGCAGCAGCTGCGGAGACAAGCGCAGCCTCCGGGAGCTGGAGCAGCACCGACCGCGGGTGGCGCCTGGCCTGGAGCCGCCTCCGAGCTCCGCCGCCGCCTCGCCGGGCTCCGGGTGCCGCCCCCGCTGGGGAATGACCCGAACGCTCCGCCCGCCGCCCCTCCCATCCCGGCCGGGCTCCGCGGGCACTCGGGCTGGTGCCGCTCTGCGCTCACGCTCCCAGGGCACTCGGGCTGGTGCCTCAGCACAGAGCCCATGCGGGAGCGGCTTTTGGCCCATTTGACCGATCTGCGTGCGGGAAAGCAGCGAGGCGGGGTGAAGAGTGGGGGACAGGGGAGCAGCGAGCGGGCTTCGAAAGGCAGCGCGCTTCATGGAAATCACGGGAGCCCTTTTGCTTTCTTGTACCAAAGCGACTCCCGGTGCCTCCATTGGGAGCCAGAGGCAGGGGCATATTCAGAAGCAGAAGCCACGCCAGCAGAGCAGTCAGGTCACTCCTGTCCTGCAAAAACCTTGCTAGGGAAAAGGGCCCCACTCTGTTGAAGCTGGTCGAGAACCGCAGCCCCGGGGAAGCCGCTCCTGGGGCTCTCAACAGTGAATGACAGCAGGGATTCTTGGAGTGAGCCTGGCCAGGTGCCCGGTGCCACCAAAACGGGCGAGTTCCTTGTGCCGAATTCCCCCATGTCCCC